TATTGTGTTGAATTACTGTATTTCTTTTATCACATCTTTTTTCTTATACATGCAGATTCACCAAATTTTTGTCAAAGTCCATGGGGTACTTATTTATTAAAGAGTTTCGTCCCGTTGTTCTTGCGCTTCTTAAGAAGTACCCTGAGCGTGTAACGAAAGATATTTATGAAATGTTGGCGCAAGAGCCGAACATCATACATGTAATTATCAACATGGACAATCAAAATTAGTAATCAACCAATTACTAAAGATTTAAATATATTTTATATGGAAATAGGAAGCTCCGATTGAGATCAAAAGAGGTTTATATGAACGCAACAAAAAAATGTTCAAGGTATCTATTCAAGCACAAATCGTTGGCTATTTTAAAGATCAGGCTTTGGGTATGCAAGCACGAGAAATGAGGGGAATTGGTGTTAATGATGTTTTAGATCGACGGTAAATATATTTCTCACATGCTTTTTTCTCATACATATTATTACACATTAGGTTAATTATAATATCTTTACTTTAGGATAAATGCTGCTGGACTACAATATATTATCAATTTAGTTCACGAAAATTCGGTCCTTTTTGTTGAATTGCAAAATATAGTTAGAGAATGGTATAAAGAATATGGACTCTCAAAACTTTGTTCATTTCGATTTGATTTCTTTATGGGCATGCAAAAAGCTGGAAGAATTCATGTAAGTTGAATTTAATTTAGATAATTTTAAAAACTGAATAACATCTAACCAAATGAATATTTGACATAAAATTGCAGATGTGTAAGCAAGACCATTCTTACAATATAATTTGGTATATTAATGGAGGAATAAGAAAAGGTTTGGACGCAGCTGCGGTCAGCAGCATAAATACTTATTTGGCCAAATATAAGAAAACTAGTTCTAGAGAATTTTCGTAAGGCCTTTTTGGTTAAAATTATGATGAACGCAGGCATATTTTCCACTTTAAAAACGCATCATTAACAATTTTAAATTATTATTTATAGAGATGTCGCGATGATATTCCAGGACCCTATTGTATATAACGTTTTCTCCGCTCGTATTGTCGATGCTTTAAAAAAATATATTTCTGAATTTTTTAAAAAGCATACAAATAAAACAGCCGAGGAATCGAATATTCAAAAAACAGTCACCATGGCTTTATCTACATTATCGGTCCGTTTATTGTGATGTTCAATAATTTCATTTGTAATTTTAAATTTTATTAATTTAATGAATTCATTACATGAATTTTAGAAAGAAAAGGAGTCGACTGTTAAATGGTTATCTTTAATGGTCACTTTTGGCAGTTATGCGCATAAAATGTTGATTAGCAGGAATTTTAATATGCCAGAGGTGGATGAAGAAATTTACGCTATATATTATAAAAAATTATTATATTGGATGTATGATGATAAAGTAAGAGAACTTAAAACACGTCAAACTATGACAGCACATTTAAACGCAGATGACGAACAGGATGTGCCAAATTCCATTAGCTCAGTGCTCACATTTGGAGAACATGAGCTTCGTATATTAAAAAGGAATGATTTAGCGAGAAAGGTAATTATGTACTTTTATTATTATTATTTTTTTCCCCAATCATTTTAGTAACTCAATATTACTATTCAAAACATAATTATATATATATGCATTTCCTATTTTTGTTATTTTTCATCATAGGTTTTTTGTCATTATATGCTAGATCGTTGTGAAAAGAGTGACATCATAGCCTTACGGCGTGCACTGAATTACTTCAAAATGACTATGCCAACGAATGATTCAGATATCTTACATGTTGAAGTTTACGAATCCACGTTTCAATCACTTATAACGTTACTTATCAAACATCATCGTATTCGCATACTTTCTTCTGAGAAGTGGAGAGGAGTCATCAGGATGTTAATTACTACACCATGGAAATTAACAATACATGAAATGGTGATCAAACTTTTGATAGAGTTTTACAATGAAGATGTCAGCGCAACATTAGAAAATTCCGGTAGCGTAGAAAAATTGAAGCAAGTAAGAGAATGGAGCGAGATTGCTGCAAGTCACTATTCTCAACTTGGCATAAATGTATGATACTTTATATTTTTCTACATTTCTTAGTAATGCATATGAATTAACTTTTATATGTATTTTAATGAAATTTTCTAGCGAAATGATCGCACGAAGATCTATTATTGCTATAATTTGCTCGTAAATAAATCTAATCAATGTTTAAATGGGTTGTGGTGTATCAAGCAGGAGATATGCCCCACTGTTTGGGATTTGGGCATCGAACATGGCTCAGCTACATCACATGAAGATTCACATACGATCCCAATGGAATTTTAAAATACACAATATATATGTCGTGTAAATAAAATAAGAAATTTATCGACAAAGGAACTTTAATTAGATTTTTGATAAACTACTATTACTACATATTATGCATTTGAGATATTAGATTAGAATACATTCTGAATAATGTTTATGAGTTGTTTTTGCTCATTTATCATACATAAATAATTTGAGGATTGCCTATTATATGTAATCATTGTCAAGATTAAGTTGACTTGTGTTTAAGTACGAATATACAAAGTATCATTATAAGTTTCTCATACATAGTGCTTATGAATGGCAATAATGCTCTTTTACTGTTTATTGTGTTTGTATAGGAGGGTTGGAAATTATATTATATGTTGATAAAAAAATAAATGGATCTATTGGGTCCATGAACTGATATACAATTATATAAAATATGTTCATTATATATCTTTAGTTAAATAATATACAGATAAGTATTAATATAATTTTTTAGTTATATTATAAAGAGGATGGTTTTAACTCTTGTAACTCATATCTTTAATCTTGGATATTTTCTTTCTAGTTTTTTTTTATATCTATATAAAGTTAATTCTTGATTTTAGCTCTCTACCTAGCTATATATGTGCTTAAATCATTTTTGAAAAAAAAGTACATTCGGCAAACATTTGGCATTGATACATTTTTTATAGGAAACCTCTGAAGTAACTATGCTATATAATATATTTGATGAAAATAATTCAACAATTTCAGCAAATATGAATTTAATTTCGGCAACTATGGAAGACTAATTTCGGCAAATATGAATTTGATTTCGGCAACTAAGACTAATTTTGGCGGACTAAATGCCGTAATAATTTTTTACGTATTATGACAGCACACATGTATATGCTTAACCGTGTTAAGGTTTTTTTGTAAGGATTTGTCTTTTTGTAGACATTGATAAATTCTTTTTCTTGAAGCATTTTAGTAATTCTTGCTTTATTAATTATCTCATTGTTTTTGTACTTGTTGCTATTGTAATTGAAGTCTTATATCTTTGCTTTGTTTGTCAGCTACAATTTAAACCACATTAGTAGCCATAGCTTAGATTTATAAGCAAAGAAAAGCCAAGCTATTCGAGCCAACGACATCCCTAATTGAAGTGTATAGAATAAAATTTTCGATTTGACCTGGTCGGGTTATGAAAACAAAAAATTGCCAAAATTTTATGCTAAAAACCTTTTAATTAGAGGACGGGATTTAGTTATCATTTAATGTTTCAATGTTTGTATCTCGTACGTAGGATTCTAGAGCCTTTCAATACGTACGAGGTAATGCATAGCATTGTATGTCTGGAGCGAGTACGTATTACATTTACTATTTGATTGGATGATTATCACGTAATGTGGCCGGACAAACAAACCTTGCACGGACCGGTCAATGGTCAAGCTTGACCAGACCAGTTTGACCAATTTGACCAGTTGGCAAAGGGTTTAATATTGGTCAAATTGGTCAAATGATATATAAAGTATACATATAGTGTATACAGTCAAACCTCTCTATAATCACACCCTTGGTTTTAAGAATTTGGTGCTTATAGAGAGTTTGTGCTTATATGGAGGTTAAATTTTATAAGTGTTATATAAGTTAGTTTTAAAATTTTATGTGATTATAAGCAAATGTGACTATAGAGGAGGTGACTATAGAGAGGTCTGACTGCATATATATTTATTTTGCATATTAAAATTATTTATTTAATAGCTCAATTTGACCAGACCAGCAAATTTTTAGTCGACCAGTAATTTGACCAACTCAGAGAATAATATAGTCCTTCGCTATGCTCCGGACTAATAAGATCGATCTGTGATTTTCGTTTTGCGATAAGTGCAAATAAAGTGATCATTTTGCATTTAAGCGCAAATAAAGTGATCATTTTGCATTCAAGTGCAAATAAAGTGATCATTTTGCATTTAAGCGCAAATGAAGTGGCCACGCAATATCCAATGGGGCAGACAGAAATTTTTCAAATTACTTTTTGATGTGATATTATGAATTAAACTGATAATTACATCAAAAACATAACATTTTATGTATCAAAAAGGTAACTTTTGTATCACTTTGCAGATCATTTAATGTCGGGAGGACAATAATTTTATTGGTTCTATGCAGATCAAGAATTTTAGGTAGGGATGAAATTACCAAACCTGCTTGGAGTATGTTCTAATATCATATTCCAGTTTCGCCTCCAGTTTAGAAAACTAGTTTGAATCCTATTTTAATATATTATGTTTTATAACTCACTCCAGTCTAGTTTGAAGTGCTCCAGAGTATGATACTCCAATTAACAACTCTAATTTTAGGATCGAAAGTGATCTACACCCGAGATTCTTCTGACAAGGGTATCTGTCGATATATTGGTTGTTTTCTCTTTGCACAATTCAGTTAAAATTCAAATCCAAAAATAAATTCTTTAACATTGCAATTTTTTAGTTCTTTGTACATTATACAATTGAAGCTCAACATCTCGTTTTCCCTCACATATGAATTATCAATTGTAATCTTATAAATCCTATGCAAATTTCAAACCGACGCAACAAAACTTAATATTCAAATAAAAACAATATAAAAAAAAGGGTTGATAAAAGCATGAAAAATGATGTTTGAAAAAAAATTGAATTTTCTAGAAAATTGTAAAGTCAGCATATCATGTGACTACTCTTGAGTTTAAAGTATTCTATAAGATAACGGTATTCTTCCCAGTTGTAATGCGCAATGATTAATACTAGTTGAGCTAATACCCGTATATATAGAAGACTCGAGTTTATGTCCGACAGCCACTACATAGTCCTGGCCACCAGCGCATGCCCAACCGTCATTATCAGCGAAACACATTAAACTGTTTAATGATCTACCATGGCCGCAGTTTGTTGTTGCCCAACCATTATTTACCGGAACATTACTTAGTGCCCTACAACTACCTAAAGCATTATCACAGCATAACCATGTGAAAGCCCTGTCAGTAGTCGGTCCAATTGATAGTGCATTAGCTACAGCATTAAGAGAAGGACACCCATTCGAAGGATTAGCATTCGAAAAATTAGTTGCTATCGTATTACCCAATATTCCTCCACATAAACCTCCATATTTGCCAGTTGCACTGGAACCGGTAGTAATGCAAAAAGTCGATTGACTAAGTTTGGTACACTGAAAAGTTATATCCAAATTGGAGAAAGGAATGGGAAATCCAGAACATTTGCCATTATAGCAACCATAAGTGAACCCGTAATTATATATTCCAGGATCGCCTTGAGTATATCTAATAATTCCTTGATAATTTGAATCACCTAGGCAATTACTAAATTGCCAACCACCTTTTACTCGTAAAATACTGAATAACATTAAAACTAATAAACCCCACATTTTACCCCACATTTTATCGTTATTATCGATTGGACGGTGATGTTACTACTTTTTGAGATGAGCTCAAGTAAATGAGAAAAAAAGTGTCTATACGTAAAGAGTGCAAAGAATTGATAGACTACCGACAATAAGAATAAAAGTCTAATATATATGTATTTCTGCTTCAAAGCATCCTAAAAATATCAATGTGAAGATTGTTTAAGAATGATGTAGAATCCTGAAACTTAATGTTAGGGGATAGTAAAAAAAACGGTTTAACCAATTTTTTATACTTTCTTTATTGTTTTAAAAAAATGGTTAAACCATTGAGGTGTATCCTTTACAAACAGTGTAGTGATGATAATAGATCTTACTTTGCCCTTAAACCTTCCCGTAATATTTGTAATATTAATGTTTAAATCTATAAATGCAAGATGTTTAATGAAAAATGTCTTTATATAGTAATAGCGTTAGAGTTTTACCTTAGCTAAAAAAATGTCAATGGATACGTATCGATATAGTCCATTGGTAGTTACTAAGCCACATGTTTGGTCATTGACCAACCTTACTTACCGGAGTGTCTACTCTCATACGATTTATAATATAACGATAACGATAATGCAGGCCACATAGACCGAGTTTTTTATAAAATTTAAACTTTAATGAATAAACATACAAATAAAATAAAATCTCCTTGACATGCTCTTTAAATTAATAACACTCCTTTTTTATTTTATTTAACGTTAAGAGTTATTAAATTTAATAATTAATTTTCGTATTATTATATAAAAATAAAATAAGGTTATTAATTTGACATACATATATTTATTTACATATGTTTACTTATTTAAGAGCTTAAATTTAAAGAAACCCGGTCAACGATTTATTATGCGGTATACATTATATCAATATTTAGAAATCGTATGATAGTAGACACCCCTGTAAGCCGTGATATATTTCACTTAACAGTCGATCGATACTTCCCATCGTACCCAGTAAAAAATGCGCGTGGGTTCTAAAAAAAATCCTGCGCGTCACGCGCAGCGAAAAATCTCCAAAATTCGTTTATGTTAAGGTTAACATTTTCATTAGAGTTAGGCACTTGAAAACATATAGTAAAATTGGCCAAGGAATTTTTTTGTTAGAGTGCAAATGGTGATTTTAAAAATATTTATCGATATAGTGATTTATATCGATTTACCAAGATTGGCCAATCATAATGCACGATTTGGTGTAACCTAAATAACGTGATCAGTAATGTAACTTTCCGGCGCCGAGTCTACGGCAGGGTTCAGGTCAAGGACTGTCAAATATTTGGATATCAAATTAAAAAAATTTATTTGAATATAATTTGGATATAAATTTTCTCTATTAAAAATAAAAGAAATGATAAAACCTTTTTTCAAAATATATATAATGTAACATATTTAATTATAGTTAAATTAAGGTTACATTAGATATCCATTCGTTTAAAAGTGTAATAGATGAATTTGTGAATTGAAGAATATCTGTTGCATAAAAAGAAATATCCTAATTTTTAGTACATAATTGAATAAATTAAAGATTAAAAGCTTGTGTAGCTTTAAAAAATGAACATAAGAGATGTAAAAAAATATAATTAAAAAAATTTTTAAATGCTAATTTAAAAACATTTTGAAATACAGAAGAAAAAGAAAAAGGTTCATCATTAAGTTTTAAATAACATTATTAATAACTTGATTAAAATTAGTATTTGTTTATTATTATTAAGAAAGATTTCTAATTACTAAATTTGAGTTTCTACAAAAAGCAATACTGGTTTATTTTTATTTTAAAAAAAATTAAAACTATTAATAAAAAATGAAGCATAATAATAAATAAATACAAGATAGATTTCAACATGATTATTATTTTGTATATTATTAAAAATAGACATTATTTTATCAATAAAATCAAAAGTATTTGTTTGCTGTTACTTCTTTTTTTTTTATTATATAATATCAAGTAGAAAAAATAGTAATACATGGATATATCAATTAGATATAAATGTATAAATAAAATATTCCTAAACTACACTATTGTTGCTATATATATAATAACATCTAGCATGATATTAACCTTTAATTTTCTGTTTTAGTTAAATCAACTATTGTAATTATTAACTACAAGAAGAGTAAAAAGAACTTTTAATATTATTTTAATTAGTAAAAGCAAATATATATAGTAAAATTTTAAAAAAGAGTTTTAAAAATAAATTGGTTTATATTAGTATTAAATGCAAATGTATTATTATTGGAGTTAGAAAATTGTATGATAGGTAATTGAACATTATTTTTTCTTTTAGTAAGAGTAGTAATTTCTTGTACTGATTTTTATTCATGTTGTTTGGTATTTCAAGTTTGTCTGATAATAAGGTTAAACCAGTTAAGTAAAGAGTTAGATAAAAAAATAAAAAAATTGTTAGTTAGTTTTTTTAGAATTAGTTAAAGTTGTTTATATTGGTCAAGTGTTATTGTGTTTTGAATAAATAGAAGTATTGTATTATATATATTAAAGTTTAAAGAGAAATTTTGTAAGTTGAAGATTTGAATTATTATGTATAATAAAGCTTTAGAAAAGTTTAAAAAACTTAAAATATTAGTAGTTTTATTAATGAGGATGTTTTGTAGATTGTAAGTATAAAGTAAACATTAAGTAAATGTTCTGTGTTTTCTTATTGTATACAATAGAAGCAATTTGAAATTAAGTAGAATAGAAGATAGCAAATGTTTAAATTTAATATTGTTGATAAGTTATTAAGAAGGATTTTATTTCTAATCAAATAAAGTTTTAAATTAGAATTTTAGGAATTAATGATTTCAGTAAATAGTAAGATGTTTATAGTAGAAAGATTTTATAATAGTTTAAGTTGAAGGAGTTTGTTAAAAGTTTGAATAAAAAAAAGGTTTTTGTAAAATTTATAAAGTTTGTATATAATTAGTATTTCTTTTCAAATAAAGAAGATAGGTAAATAAAGATAGTTGAGATTATATTTTAGCTCTGTTTTTTTAGCATTTTGTTTAGCTAAGATATTAGCAATATTATATAAAGCGTTATTTAAATGTAATTTAATTTTGTGCATAATATAATTTATATTTTTAAGTTTGGTTAAATAGTTTAGAATATGGATAATATTCTCAGTTATTTTGTTTGATTTAAGAATTGTGATTATAAGATATTAAATTGGTAAGAGTTTGTATAGTAGATAAGCTGTTTAAATGAATATGAATTGAATAGTTAGGAAATAAGATAAGAAATAAAAAAATAAGTACTGCTAGTTTTGCTTATATTAAATTTGGTATGAAGGTTATAGAGACATTAAATTTAATTTGTATGTTATTGTTCAGAATTTAGGCAATGTCAGTAAAAGTGTTGTATGTTTGTGAATTAAGTATAGAGGCATCTGTATAAACATATATATTAGTTAGCTCAAAAGATAGTAATTTTTTTTAAAGTTTATAAGTTGGTTTTGATATATAGAGTCAGGTATTGTATTTTGTATTAGAAGAATTTCTGAAAAGAATAGTAAAAAAAATAGTAGAGATTTTGAAGCTAGTTTATATAAGTCTGTATGAATATTTTGAAGTGCTTTGATTTCTTGATTATTTATATTGAGTTCAAAGTTTTATTTTCTTTTTTGTATTTTGCATTTAAGATTAATGGTTTGTTTGTAATTTATTTAAAACATTGTTGGTGTAGGAGAAATATAAATTGTGTTAGTTGTTGAATTTGTAATTTGATATTTTTGAAAGAATACTTGAGAATTAAATATATTAGTTATTTTGTCAATATACCAATCTGAAGATAAAATATAGAGTGACCATGTATTTTTGAAATAACAAATTGAGATGTAATAAGATTTAGTATATTTAGAAATAAGTTAGTAAGTTGAAGTTGAAAATTAGGCCATATATACAAAATAAGATGATTGGATATTTGGTTTGAGAATATTTTAAACCATTTTGAAATAGAACCTTATAGAGGTTTAAGAGTTCTAAGATATATATTTTTTTAAGGAAGAAGGTTGTGATTATTAGCTATAAGTAATTGTTCTAAGAAAAGAATTCTATTGTTTTTAAGACTTAGAGTTGTTGAGTTGTTTGAAGTTGTAATAAAATTATAATGTTGTTTAGTTGATTAATATGTTTGTAGATTGTTAATTGATTTAAGTAATTGTTCTAAGAAAAGAATTCTATTGTTTTTAAGACTTAGAGTTGTTGAGTTGTTTGAAGTTGTAATAAAATTATAATGTTGTTTAGTTGATTAATATGTTTGTAGATTGTTAATTGATTTAAGTAAGTGTTATTAATAGAAATATTATTTTTATATAGGTGATGAAGTTAAGATATTATAGTATAATTGGTAGATTTTTTATAATTGGTTAAAATTGTGTTCTGAGTTAAAAATGGTTTTTATATTTTAAAAAGCCAATCTTTGATTTAATATATAGAGATTTGATTTAGAAATATGTTAGTATTAAAACATCTTTCTATGTTATTGCTGCTAACTTGTAATATGAGTTTGTTAAATATTGGAATATTGAGTAGTTGTAGATTAATAAGTTTATTATTGTTTGTATTAATAGATAGATGTAACATATATTTAGTACATTTTGTTAGAAGACTTAATAGTTGTTAAAATTTGGTTTGTGAAGAAGAACATATTTGAAGTAGGTATTTAATTGATGATAATAAAATAGTATTAAACAGTTAAGATATTTGTATAAAAAAAGTTTTTTGTATTGAATAGTATAAATAAATTAAGAAGTTTTGCTAAAATTTTTTCAAATGTGAGTTTAGTAAAGTCTTTGGCATCTAAAAAATTTTTAGAAATCTTATTATTTCATCAGATTTGTGAAATAAAATTGGTTCATTATTAAAATTTAGAGGAGTTATATTTGAAGTATTATTGGATGATGTTTTTTTGTTAGATGAAATATGAATAAAGTCTAATTTGGATGTGTTAACTTGAATATTGTTTAGTTGGTATAGTTCAGATATGTTATCTAGGATCTT